AAGGCTTGTCCGAGTGTGAGTGCTGAAACGCCAGGCGAGGTTCGTAGAGACGTGTTGAACCTTGGTTTCCACCTCCCCAGCAGGACCATGATCCATTGTGCAACGCATGGCCAGATCCAAGGGAGTCCCACGAGGCTGCGACAACTCACCTTACATGGAGCCCTAGCCCTCCCTAGTGAACTAGGCAACATGCAGGACGTCATTGAAGTTGTAGACTCCCAAACCTGAAAGCACAAGCCCGGTAGAGCAACGTGTGTAATACATGTTGGAAGTCAGGACCCTTGCAATTTGGCAGGAATTCATTGCCGCACTGGAATTCGCTGAATGCGGCTTGCTGGACTGCTCCTGCCCTTGCTTGCACTGCCCTGCCCCCTTGCCCTGCTTGTACTGATGCATGCTCCTGCAAGAATGATGACTCTGAATGCTCGTCCAGGCCCGTCGATGAAAGTCGAGTCCGGCCTCGTCTGTCTCCGAACCGGGTGGACCCTATAGTAACGAGGCTTTCCCTTTTCAGCATGTTTTACTCTTCTGGTCTCCCCCCTAACCAAACCACCAACCCGCGCAAGTGCCGATGCCATGGAAAAGCTGGCTGCAATCGGCATACTCTGGCTGTGGTCTGACTGGTAGAACCATTCGTGGCACGACTGATGCTTGAAGTTTGACTGGCAACCTGGCTGTACTGTGCGAGACCATACTATGCCATGCGCCAAAACCGCCGTTCTGGAGAGCTGTGGGCATCACAGTAGCCTGGGTGACTCCGACCGTTGCAGACGCGACCTGTGAGTCTGGTGCCTGAGAGCCGCTTGGCGGCTTCGTGGCTCCTCTGCCACCACAAGGTCTGCCGAAGCCACGCAGAATCTGAAACACCGGCCTGTTGTGCGGCCGACCTAGTGTCCCCTGCGCAGACAAGTGGAGGTATCTCCACTTATAGGGCTCAGAGCACGTGGAAGAGGATACAATTTTTGCTACACCTGCAGCAGCGTAGACATGGCTGGGTTCATCAGACTGAGCGAACACAGAGGCGAGCATAGGCATGAGCCTAGTGTCCAGCGACTGCGCTGACAAAGAGGACATGGAACTGCCATCGGTGCGTGTAGGGCAGACGGTACTGGCCCCGCGGGAGAGACTAGACTGGCATCGCAAAGAGCCGGACCACTGCGTGCACGTCGGGACTGGTTTCACACTGTCCTGTAAGTAGTAAGAAGATGATCGCCGTTGGATTCGATTTGGGGGACCCGGTTTATCTTAGGTTGCGTGCTTAGCCCTGCTCAGAGTTTGCGGATGATCATGCGCTGACCCGGTCCTCCGCTTGGAAGTGCTGTAGTTTCGGTTACGGTTGTTGTGATGAGGACCGGAGTCGTAGAGTTCCAACAGCCCGCGGAGTGATACCTACTCGACACAGCGTCCCATGTAGATCCTCTGGACTGCTCCCCCACTGTTGGAGTAGGAATTTGGGTATTTCCGGGGCATGCCTTTGTGGTTACGGCTGGTTGTTCTCTGGTTAACTGGGGTGAAGGGAGCAGACAGTCCATGTTTCACGCCGACCTCGCAACCAAGAACCTCGCCTGGCATGTCCGAGTCGTGAGAGCGTAAAAGCCAGGTGAAGACGAATGTGCACACAGGGAGCACACTCCTCTTTTCGTTGTGTACTCTTTGCGTGCGTGCTCATCACCCTTTCATTTCATCGTCCTGTCTCCTTCAAATCTCTTTCACTCATGCATGCACCACGCAACCCAGGAGCGTGCATCTCCCATGGTTTATGATCTTTTTTGTACATGTGCTCATCACCCTTTCATCTCACCGTCCTGTGTCCCTACATTCTCCCTCACTCATGCATGCACCACAACATCCGAAAAATACAGCTACTCTATGTGGCAGAATGTGCCGCATATGTTGGAGCTTGCAGAGTGCGGTTCGCCCATGTTGGAACGTGTAGAGTGCGGTTCGCCTATGTTGGAACGCGTAGAGTGCTGTTTGCTTATGTCGGAACGTGTAGAGTGCGGTTCGCCTATGTTGGAACGTGTAGCATGCGGTTTGCCTATGTTGGATCGTCTAGAGTGCGGTTCGCCTATGTTGGAACGTGTAGAGTGCCGTTCACCTATGTTGGAACGTGTAGAGTGCCGTTCACCTATGTTGGAACGCGCAGAGTGCCGTTTGCCTATGTTGGAATGTGTATAGAGTGCTGGCGCTTGCATTGGAACGCATCAATCTGCGGCGGTTGGTGTTACCCCTTCACAGGGGCATCTGTGTGTGTACCACGTTGTGACCAAGGGACTATTATTTGCCATTTCAAAGAAAGCAGGGGGCCAGCGGAGAGGCAGGTAAGATGAGTGCGTGCGCTGGGCAACGAAGACCGCGCACTCATTTACCTGTCCTCTCGTGAAAACGTACCTGCTATGAACTCGGAAACGGGCAGCGTGAGGAGCGAAAAGATGCGGATTGATTGGAAGCTGTTAGGCCACGATTGTAGGAATACGCGCTAACTCATGTTTGGCTTCGGTCAATCGAGAGTCCATCAAGTGTGTCTGTGTGTGTGGGCGTGTGTGTGTCTGTGTGCTTGTGTGCTCGTGCGCGTGTTTGTGTGTGCCTGTGCGCGCATGTGTGTGTGTGTGCATGTGTGCATACGTCCATGCACACGAGCTCAGGGACACATGCATGCGTGCATGTCTGTGTATATAACTATGTATGTCATTCAAAGCCTGGTTCGGGGTTTGGGCTGTGAGGTAAACGGTCGGGACGAACTCATGTCTAAAGGTTCAAATCAAATCTGTAATACGGTCAAGAATCGCTGAAGCCATCGCCGAAACATTGCAAGGGACTCTGATTTAATATGCTGCCGGGTCTGCATGTGTGTATGTTCGCAATGGTTCGCATGTAAGCAAGCAGGCAAGCAGCATGTATATGTGCATGTTTGTGTGTATGTATGTATGTTTGTTTGTTTGCCGGCTTGTGTGCTTTTCCGCTTCTTTGCCTGTCTCCTTGTCTGTCTGTTTATCGGGGTGTGTGTGCACGTGTGTGTGTGTGTGTGTGTGTGTGTGCGTTTCATTGTTTGTTTGTCTGCTTGTTCGTCTGTTTGTTTGTGTGACGATCGTGCATGGCAAAGGTTGGCTTGCTTGGCCTTGCAAGGTCGGAACAACAGAGACGAGGCTGATCTACGAGGACGTCTGCCACGCAGGGGAGGGCTGATACATGAACATGCATCATGCAGCAGGCTAGCAGGCTAGCATTTGCTGATGGGGTCTGTGCCGAAGAAGGGCAGGTTGCAAATGTTGGTGCAGCGGCATCCTGGCAGGAGTCTTCCTGGCGCCAACGGCTCCTTCGTGATGGGTGGCGGGCCTTGATAGGTACGGATTTTTTGAGGTCTCAGACAACGATCAGTCGTAACATCGACCTGCGGCTGGACAGAGCCGAAACGGCGTCGCTAATGTATCCACCGTAGCAGAGGGCAGAGTTAGTCAAGCACATGCCACATGTACAGCCTCAACATGCCTCTGGGACCCTCGGCAACGACTCACAAGAAATTCGTGTGCCACTCACGTCACACTCAAGCCGTGCTTCTTCCTACAGACACTCAGGTCCAACAACACCCTGCGCCGCTGCGGAGCAGCTTTTCTCGTAGGCCAGCCCAAGCTGCAGGGAGGCCCAGCTGCTTCTCCAGTCTTGGGACATATAGACCTTTAGAAGTCTGGCCAGCATGGGTTTTGAGGAGCAGCATCTCCCGCAGCTGCACAGCATGCCTTCTCGGCAGGGATTCTGCATGTTTCCGCACAAGATCCAGGCACCAAGGGCCCCAGCCTCCAACACCTGTAGCGAATTTGCTCACTTCTCCAACTGTTGCCTAATCCGTTCAGGCCATGCTGACACGTAGAACCCTCCGGAAGCCCGTGCTGGCCAGATTGCTCCGAGACGAAAGCTCGCACAGCTCGCATGTGCTCGCACATCCCGTGCAACCCCGAATTTTTCAGGTCCGTTTGGAGGCGCCTGTATCCCGGAGAGGCTGGGGCCCGACACCCTGCAGTCAGAAAGAAGACCATGGGGACATCCTGGCAATATCTGTTTGGTCCATTTTTTTCAGTATACACAGGCTGCCTCAAAACATGACAGTGCTCTGATGAGTTTCAGAATTACGGCTTGGGCTGCTGAAATCCGCCATGGTCCATGCTTGTTCTGACGCTTGGGCTGCCCAGCTGTGGGCCAGAATGCAGAGTAGGCCGGGAACGAAGCGGCTTGTCGCGGCAGCGCAGGTCCTGATCGGGCCCTGCGCCGACCGAGAGGCTGCGGAGCGGGTTGCCCGCGAGGCAGCTCGGACGCACTGTTGCTGGCTCGGTGCCCTTGCCTATGCCGTTGCATCGTTGGCTTGTAGATCGGAGTACAAGAGGGTGGCAGCTGGCTGTTGAGAACCCCCAGGTAGGCAGCACCCTGGGCTTCGTCACCTTTCCGCAGGGCTGCTACTTTCTGCTCGAGAAGGCAAGGTTAGCCTGGTTGTTCTCTTCCGTGCTTAAGCATTTGAGTTTTCGGCTCATGTGGACAAGTATCCAGCAGCCCCTTTGTCCACTGGACGACCAGGTTTTTGGGGGCAGCAGTTCAACATGGGTTACTACACGTGCTCGTCAACTCCTCCGCATTGTTTCAGTTTGTTGTCTTGTCAGGAGGAACTTAGGAGTGGGAATTCCACTGCTAGCAAAAGCTGTCTCTGACCGTTGGATCCAAGCCCACAGAGGTCCAAGGAGACAGCACCGAAACTGCAAGCTTGGAGATCTTCAATAGTTGAAGGATAGGAGCGAAACTTCCGGGTCAGATCAACAGCAGCAGCAGTGGCCGTGGAAGTCCGAGGTATTAGTGTCTATTTGTGCTGCGTTGTACCGCTACTGTCATTCTGTTCTCCGTACGGTTCTTGTTCTCTTCTTCTTGTCAATCTCGCTCAGAAATCTGGGGCGGGTTACACGCAGGCCTCAAGCCCACACTGCTCCCCGAGCGAAGCCGAAACTTCAGAGGCTCGGGATCGACTCTCACTGCAGACTTTCCCGGCAAAGAAGCAGGAGAACATGAGGGAGGCCGACGCTGGGGGTGGGCCGAGGGCGGGCACGAAACACGTCCAGGATTTGCTTTGTGGATTTTCAGATTCAGGGTAAACGGTTTTGGTTTCAGCAGTGGGTAGCTAGAAATATACACATGTCAACCAGGCTTTGAGAGCATAGCTGCCATTTACACGCACCAGCATTCGCAAGCGGGAAACCTGTCGCCTCGGAGGCCGGTGTGGTTTTGCCGAGGCTGAAGGCTCTGGGACCTTCGCCCCTGGGCATCCGCCTGGGAAACGCCCTGTGGCCTGGATTGCAGGAGCAGATTTTGCTGTATCATTTCGCCGCTTGCAGGCTGGTTCTCTTGAGGGTGAATGAGTGGGTGCTTTGGCAAGTGCAAGGCTCTGGAAGTTGAGGGAGCCGTTCTCGCGCTATGCTATCTTTCCGCTTAAACACTAGCATTGCCCAAGCTGGCTCCCAACTCGATGCCGGATGCAAGGTGGAGGTAAAACCAACTCGAGAGACGACCACCCACGCTTCCAGTAAACATTACGGGGTCTCCGTGGCTATGTCCAAAAGGTTGTCAGACATGTCCCATCAGAGGTTTCTGATGGCTGCTGCGTTGGCTATGGCTGCAGACTTTGGTTTCGGCTTCCGAATGGAAACCAGCGCCCCTCTTGGATAGCACCAGCAGGGCTGTGCCCCACGGGTTTCAGGAGCAAAGCAGAAACTCGAAGCCGGCGTGCTGAAGGGTGCAGCTTTGGGATTTACGATGCAGGGGATGTACTTTGGTCATGCCAGAAGTCAGGAGTCCAGGTGCCCTGCCTTGCGCGTAATACGACTGTAGCCGATTAATCGCCCAGGTATGCATTGGTTTCCATATGCAGAGGCCGGTGGGATCTTCTCCCTGCTGCCGTGCGTACATTGGTATACGCTCTCTGTCTGCAAGTAAGTGCGCTGCATTGACGCAATGATCTCATTTCGCAATTCCCGCCCGATCGGCTATCAGAGGGCACTTGCTGCAAGCTATCCGACGAAAAGTTACGATGCACCGCCGAAGACTCGGAAAAGTCAAATGCACCAGAACCCGGAGCCGTTAGTGCAGTGACCCGGCAGCTATCTGGCTGAATCATGAGGCCTGCGCGAGACCTTCCCATGATTGGCAGCCCTAGCCACGGGGGTTTCGAGGAGCAAAGATGGAGGGAAGTGAGTCCTAGCATCATCGAGGGCTTGAGATGAGTCAAATGAGCAGGGCTGGAATGAAGCGAAACGGAAGCGAATGAACGTCGGTTTACTCAGGGGGTCTGCCTAGGTCAGCGATGAACTTACTAGGTTTCTGATCGCCAAACTTCCATTGGTCTGAAGGAGCCTCGACTGCCGAAGGGTGCGAAGGCAGTGATTCTGCATGGATACTTCCAGAACTTGAAGTACTTCTGGCACCACAAGCAGCTTGTGAGGCGCATGGGAAGGTTATTGCCTGTTACCGTTCGTTCTTTGTCGCGAATGGGTGCAAAGCCCTCCATCAGGAGCTACCTCCTGCCGGCGAGCCTGGCGGAGCGAGCCCGCGGCATCTTCCTGCGATGGATGGCGGCACACCTTCTCAACCAGGTCGTGATGGGTTGCTACTTTCGTTTCTGTGCTTTTCAGGGCTTTGTTCGTTGCTTCTGTTACTCGCGACGTTGGTTGTCGTGGCATTGCTTGGGTTGTGAAAGACAGCTCGACAGGAGCCGCATAGTTGGTAATTGTAATATAGTGGATGTTGACTCGGGGTGCATCCAAGTACTTCTGAAGAGTAGCTGAATGAGGGTTCAGAGATTCTCCTTGCCGAGTGCCCATCGGCAAAAAGAGGGGTTGCAAACTTACTCGACTCCACTAGTGTGCCCGAGACGTGTTCATGTCGTTGTTACCTAGGATCTGGGAGCCTAAGATCCCGGGTTCGTGATGTCATCGCTTCACAGCAGATTTGTTTGCAGCTTGAAGGGCCAGAGGACAGGAGACCAGGCGCGAGCTCTAGGCCGAAACTTCGCAGGGCAAGGAGCGGCAGAGGTTCCTGTCGTGAAGATGTGTGTGAGTGAGTGTCTGGGACGATTTGGAGTGTCGCATTGAAGACGAAATGCCGCTATGACATCGCGCTGACGAGGGTGAGGAATATGAGCCACGGTGCCCGAAGTTATACAAACAAATGCCATATACATTGCGGTGTCCATGTCCACAGCCGATGGGTTTCTGGAAGGACGCCACCACTCTGGCGATCCACGTGCGCTTGGGCGATCGAGGCGATGGGCTGGGCACAATGCTCCTGGGCCTCGAAAACTGATAGCAACAGGCGATGTGATGCCTTTGCGTGCGGATGTGGACGACACATGCTAGGTTGCCAGGAGTCAGTCATGCCACAGCCCTGTGTGGATGACTTGATCCTCAACCTACCACCGTGTTTGACCAGAACGTGTTTCCTTCTCTCGGCGTTGGGCTGCCATGGAGGCGAAGGGAACGCCCTCATACCCCCCAATCCAGGATCTAACGGCCCAGCAAACCTGCAAATCGGTGCACCCGTAACTCCAAGGACCTACCAAGCCCCCGCACTGCTCAGGTACTTCCGCGAGTCTGTGCGCATTGCAAAAGCAAAGATCGCGCGGCTGCAGAGCCGAGCCGCCGTACCCTCGTCCGAACGGTTTGAGCCGTGCTGTTGCAGGTCCAGGAACTTGAAAAGGTTTGGCCAGGGCTTTTGGATCGCGGTGGGCGTCTAAACCATGACGGAGGTCCAACTTGCTGGGTCTTCACGGTCGTCTTATTGAATTTGAGGCCATCGCAGGAAGAGCTCCCGTCCAGAATGAGCATAGTTTGCCTGACGGCTTGCTAGTCTGATTGTGAGCGATTCAATCCAGGTTGTTTCCTGCGAGCCCCGCCCTGGACCCGAGAAAAAGCTTCTTCCCTGCTATCGTCGAGTTTCAACTCCCAGGATGGGAAGATCCACTGTATCCTGTTCTCTGACGAGCCGGACGCTTTGCTCAGGGCTTCTCCATGATCAGCGCTGTAAAAGCTTAGCTGGCCTTTGCAAAGGGTCCCAAAACAACACTTTATTAGCAGAGATTTCCCATGGCTGGAACATGGTCATCGATGGGCATGAGTGAGTGCATTATGGCACACTCTTCAGCCTCGAGATCTGAGGAACGACTTCGCTCTGGCAGAGCCACGCAGATTTGCCCCAAGCACAGCATCTTCGAGGCGAGATCTGATTTGGAGTGAGGGGGAAGGGGGCAGTGTCGGACGTACATGGGCAAGCATCAGCATCGCTAGTAGAGTCTGCAGAGAGCCTCAGACGGAGTCTAGGGGCATCAGGAGCCGATGCGGGACGATTTGGCTCTCGCCGTGTTGGCCGTGTGCTGCTCGGGGTAGGGCTCCCCAGCTTCTGTGTGCAGACAGATAGATGTTGAGAGCGTTTGGATGGGTTTGGCTTGGGCAAACTTGTGTTTTTCGGGCTGAGTAACTGGGTCCTTGTCTATGCATGCTGAGCCACAAATTCTGTTTGGTGCGTTGTGTGGGCCCCTGCATGTGGGGACATTGGACGAGAAGGACATCAGCCAAAAGCTCGGGACAAGACTCTGCTTCTGGCGTTTAGATCCTCTCCACACATAGCTACCATTTCGGGCAAACGATGATCGATAATGGCCGTCAAAAATTGTTTGTTTTCCAATCTGACCTGTGTGTTCAGGATTGTCATCAGCTTTTCCACCTTCAGCTGGTGGGCTGCAGTTCTTGGTGGTTACCGGGTGCCTTGGCGGGCATGGCAGCCCTGCCAGCAGAAGCTCAACCTGGAAACGTTGTGCGGCAAGCGTGGTTTCTATGCGTAATTCGAGGCGGTATTTCGATTTGTTGATTGGAATCATGAATGACACATGTGTGAACCAAAGACAAAGCCGCGCGATTGTTGCGCTCCAGCACCACAGCGTTCCGCCGCAGCCCTGTCGAAATTCGTAGTTCAATCTTTTGGAGTCAAGTTCGGGGCTCAAGAGCGGAGATTTTTCCCACATTCAACCACCAATTGAGCCTCGGGTGGCGAAGTCTGAAGCCTGACGGCTCCTTGACAGAGGTGGTAGTGGCACCTGCGACCACGGAGCAAAGCTGTTTGGCCACGGCCCCGGCCGAGTCGCCTGGCCGCAGATGGCGGCTCAGGAGGTTGAGGTCTTCCAGCTTCGGCGCTGTATTATGGGTCGAAGCAGTAAACGGCAATGGGGGAGCGAGCATATCCGCACCCCGGAGGAACAACACATTGGCCTACGTTCCGGGCTGGCTGCGCGCTGACGTTCCCTGCGATGCGGAAAGGCTTGGTGCAAAACGGGCGCAGGAGTCGAGTCTGGGTATCAGTCGAACGCCCATCACATGCGCACAAACTTGCAAGACTGGCACAACAATTGCTGACCTGAGTAGTCTGGAACTTGTTACTCGGTGTGATTTCGGCATGCCCTGACACTTTTGTTTTCTGGTCCATTGCGTGCGATGTGGGTGGACTTTCCAAGCTGGGGTAGTCCGGAGTGCACGCGCGAACAACATTGGAGCATGTTGCCACAAGAGCTGTTATGATTTCATAGTGCAAGTTTGCGATCTCTGACTCTTGCTTGAGAACTGCTCATGTGACACGCCGAGCGCTGGGGCCTGCTTTGCCTCGGCAACGCCATGCAACCTCTGCGGGCCGTCGACGTTCAGACGCAACCATGGAACACCCTAGGCACGTGCGTGTTTGAGAAGCAGAGAGACAGCAGGATCAAAACCGCGCAGGGCACTTCTGTTCTGAAATGGGCTTCCGTGGCGTCACCTCTGTTCGCCTCTACTTGGCGCTCCGGCGGCAGACGACCGGTCACAAGACAGCTGAGAGGAGCCGTGGTCAAGGATGCGGTGGCAGCGGTGGAATGTCTCCCCTTCTCGGAGCTTCCATCCACTGCCCCGCCTCCGTTGGAGAATGAAGGCGCCGCGGACAGGGTTCGACGCATGATTGCTGCCGACCCATGCAACGAGGTCTTGGATTTGACAGACAGGCAGGAGCCGCCCTTTTCTGACGAGGACTTGCGTGAGGCCTGGCACGAACTCCAGCTCGGTAATGCAGACGAGGCACGGTCCCTCTTCGTCAGGGCTGTGCTAGCAGATCCCAGTGACTCAGAAGCTTTATTTTGCATGGGCTTGCTTTATGAAGCCTTACACGACTTGCGGCGTACCGTGGAGTGGATGGACATGGCCATAGAAGAGTGCCCTGACCATGTCTTTGCCTGGGAGACGCGATCACGGTGCATGGAGCATCTGGGTCGTCTTGCTGAGTCCCTGGCAGGATATGAGCAACTGGAGATGTTGGACGAAAGCGCCACAGGACGCCGGGAAGGCCTGCTTGGGCATCAGCGTGTGTACATCCTTCCGGTGGGAGCCTGGGAGGACGGCGCGGCGGGATACATCCAAAAGGCGGCGAAGAAGATACCGCCTCGACCGCAGTGGCAGGAGAACTTCATGTTTGCGGAGCCTCAGCCAGATCTCCGGCAACCTGCACTGGAATCCGGGATAATGGCCTGGGACAATGTTTTGAGCAAGGATTTGCTGCAAAGGCTCCAAGATTGCGTGGAGGACCATTTCCAGTTCATCTTTACGAACCGGTGGGTGTATGAGGCCGACGACGCGTTTGAGGGCGCAGCTTCGACCATGTGGCTTCCGAGTTCTGAAGATGCCAGGAGCGTGCCGGAAGTGGCTGCACTGACAATTCTCCGACACATTCTGAATCAGGACCCGGCTGAAATTGCCGGGGTGGAGTATTGGGCTAGGGTTCGATCTGTAAACCTAGGTGCAGGCTTTCACTATGATGAGGCCGTGGATGCAGACGATGCTAATTCAGAGTGGGTTCACGGGAACCCGTGGCGACCTCAGTGGTCAAGTGTGTTCTACCTCACCGACGAAGGAGGTCCCACAGTTGTGTTGGACCAGCTCCATGATCATCACGGACGGCTGGCACCCACCTTGCCCCGCAAGGGCTATCTGTGCATGCCTCGTGCAAACCGCTTGGTTCTGTTTCGTGCAGATCTTCATCACGGTAGCCTCCCTGTGGATATTTGGCTGGATAGCGAGCAGACAAGGAGGGTCTTTGTCTTCAACTTTTGGCATCGACACGTGCCGGAGCCGCCCCATTGCCAGCGGCTGAATTTACAGCAGCATCCCGCCATGCGGCGGCATGTGCTCACGTCAGACGAGGCCGCCGCTCTGCAAGCTGTCGAGAGTAGCCGCTTCGAAGATGACCGTGATGGCCCTAGCCCTGTGCGACAGAAGGTCCTTTCCCGACCCGAGGATCTGCCCCACAGCTCCGATTTCGGATACCTTCCACGGCCTCTGCCTATGCCCACCATGGCGGCGCTCAAGGAGGAGAGGCTCTTCTACGAAGTGGACTGGCCAGCTGCTGCACAAGCCGGCAGAGAATAAAAGGGATGTGGAGCCTTCATGCGCTTGCTTCCGTTGTCTGAAGTCGGAATGAAGGACGCATGAACCGCATCCGTAACGTAGCTTCGCAGAAGCATCATGCCGTGCCCCTGTTCATCCTATGAGCTGCGAGTGGCTGCTAGTGGAGTGCTGCGTCTTCTTGCACCAGCGAAGACCTGCACAGCCGACAAGCCACGGAGACAACGCAAACCTTAGCAAGCCTGACAAATTAGCACGATGGACCACTGTGGCGCAAGTTGCTGCCCAGTCGAACGAGATGCAAGGGATTCTCTGTGCCCCGTAATGATTGAGTTTCAGCCATAGTTGCGAGAAGTCGGTACCTTGCACACGAATTTCGAAGCCCATGCCCTTCAGGTTACTGAGGGAACATAATTGACAGGAGCTCATCTCATTGACTGCCTCCCTTGGCTTTCCCACCTGATTTGTGTGCAAGCATGTGCATGATCTTGTGTCTTAACGCGGCTTCTTTGGGCTTTGCAAGCTGCCAATTGCTCGAATGCAGCGACAAGCCGCACGCACGGGTGCCTCAGCAGCCGTGGATGGAGGCCGACTTGGCGAGACTCTGGGGCGGTGAGGCAGAGCTCATCTCTGACTCCAGGCTAGCAGAAGCTGCGCTTGCTCGTGCAGCGGGACAGGTGGTCCCTCATTTCGCAGTGGAAGCTGTTTCCCCCGTCAATGAGAGCACACCCTCGGCACCATCAGTCCCTTCGCGGGGGCCGTTGCCAGAGCGGCGTGGGCGGCAAGAGCACAGCTTGGGCCCGGAGGTGCGTGGAGACTGGCAGGTGCTGGACTCTGCGAGTGCTCCACAGAAGACAGTGGCCACTGTGAGCATGATCGACTGCTTGTGGGAGAAGGTCACGAAGGTCAGTGATGACGTAGATTCCCTGCAGGAGCAGGTGGGTGACGGCAGAGGTTCAGCACCATCGAGCTTTGTATGAAGTCTTGAGGATAGGGTCAGAGATCTTCTCCTTGCTCTAAAGCGCCCTGCAGGTCCAGGGCCACAGCACGGAGATCAATGCCTGGATCCCGAACCATGAGGTCTGGCTTTGGTCCTTTCGGGATACATGGGGCTTGGTTGGCCCCCTGCTTGCGTGCAAGCACGCTAGCAGCTAGCATCATCGCCGTTCTGAACTCTTGGCGGGGTTGCTCTGACAGGTCGCCAGGCGATCAGAGCTAGAGGAGCTGTCCAAGACCTGTGCATCGCTGCGTGCAGACTGTGCCACGAGGCCGGGCTTGTCAACAGCAATAGTGATGACTATGGCAATGGTTCTTCTGAACTCTTGGCGGGGTTGCTCTGACAGGTCGCCAGGCGATCAGAGCTAGAGGAGCTGTCCAAGACCTGTGCATCGCTGCGTGCAGACTGTGCCACGAGGCCGGGCTTGTCAACAGCAATAGTGATGACTATGGCAATGGTTCTTCAGACTCTCTCTCTCTCTCTCTCTCTCTCTCTCTCTCTCTCTCTCTCTCTCTCTCTCTCTCTCTCTCTCTCTCTCTCTCTCTCTCTCTATGTCTGTGATGCCAACATCGTCCTCGCCTCCGTCATCATGATCGCAGCTGGCGGCACTATGTCGGCGCCAGCGGCACCACTACCACCACTATTAGGGCCGCCACCATCATTGTCACATACCATCAACCTCCTCAACAACATCTGCACCAGCAACCTCATGATCACAAGCGTCGTAATTTGCACTTAACTATCTCGGACAACCCTCAGTACCATGACTTAATGTGTAAAATATTCGCTCCTTGTGATCGCTCGCTATAGTAAGAGCACAGAACTCTCGGGTCCCACATTACCCGAGCCACGAGGCGGCAGCTGGAGGATCAGGCCACCGAGCTCCAAGGCCAGCCGGATATCTCCATCTGTCATGCATGATGGCCTCTTCAGTTCGACGGATCCCTTCGCTCCATTCGCTTCTTCGTTCGATGTGCAGTCTTTGAGCCAAGGTGCCTGGCGCTCGCCTATGGCGAGCCTGTCAGAGCGCCTGGGAGCCCTGGAGGCGAGAGTCCTTGCCGGTGTCTCTTCACAGTCTAATGTGCCTGCCTCTGCCCTTTCTTGTTGCGAGAGGAAGTTGTGCTTCTGCCAAAGTTGGTCAGCAAGTAATGCAAGAAGGGGTGGACCGGTTTGTGGCAACACAAATTCAACAGTGAGCGCCTTGTTGGCTTGTTCCTGGACAGCGGGACGTTTAGGATTTCTGTCCGCACCGCAAATGCCGCCGGACACCCATATTGAAACCAGACCCTCAGCCTTTCGTTCCCGAAGGTCACAGTGAAGGAGATTCCGACGCGCCTGAGCCGTGAGTCAGATGCTGCCAAGTATGCCTTGGATGGTTTGGAGCAGAGGTCCGCGACCAAGTTGTGAAAAGATCAAGCACAGTATTTTGCATAGTTTACGCGGTTGACACATCATCATTTGCGTGCGTTTCAGGCGTGTCAACCTCTCTCCTTGCGGGCTACTTGTAGATGTTCCGGAATGGTTCCGCAGACCTCAAGTCTGCAAGTGCAAGGGTTTGAATTTCGGAAGTACTCTTGCCACTGGCAGGTTGGAGCAGCGCATCCAGACTGTGATATCCGATCGCATCAGAACCGCAGCCAGTGCCTTTGACCAACTGCTTGACTGTCCTTCCTTTAAGAGGTTGGAGGACAGCGGGAAAAACGTGTTGGGATCCAGCTGAGGCTTGTTCGAAGAGGGGCCGTGGGGTGTGTACCCACCCCCAACGACCCAACGGAAACCAATCATGTTGGGGAGAAAATGTTTTTCCGCAGTAAGTTTCGCACTCTTCGGACCTCGGACCTGAGCTAAACCACCCATTTTTTTGGTCTAGGCGAGGCGGAGGTTCTGCGCGACGCGGCGCTGGAGAGGCTCAGGGCCCCTTGGACCTTGGATGGCCTTGTCGCAGGGCTTGAACGAAGCTTTCTTCATGGTGTGAAGGGCTGCTTTGTCGGAAGGCTTCGAGTGCAGTTTCAGGCTTAAGGCTTTGCAGGGTACGAAATTCGAAAGAGCGTCGAAGCCTCAAAAACACAAAGGCTGCGCTGCGCCAGCAGCTCCAGGAGGAGGCAGAGCGCCAGGCCATCCTGGGATCTGCTTTGAGCGGATGTTCACATGATGTTTGGTTTGGCTGATGGTCTTCGCAGGCCTTTTGGATGGACAATTTCATAGTTTCCTGGATTCGGCTCAAGACGAACGTGTTTCAGGGGCCTGAAAGGCCCAGCCTACTTAAAGGTATAGTGCAACAGAAAGTTTGGTTTGGCGAGGGACCACGGCTTCAGACTTGATCGCTTAGACGAGCCGCTCAAAGCGGGAAAGGAGCAGACCACCAGTCAGCTCAAGCAGCGCCTCACTGACCGTCTCGATGATGCGACTGACTCAATGCCAGGGAAGTTCTTGCAGGGCCATTCAGTGGACATGGCATCTATGCCGAGCGTTGGTCCATATTTTAGGAGATCTTCAAGTTTCGCAAGCGAGTCTGAGTGAGATCGCAGCAGCCCCTGCCGGTGACGTCGTAAGGTCGCTGCTGGACTCCGCCGGCTTGAGGCACGGGAAGCGTTTCGCATCCGATCTCTCCCGGTGCACGCCCAGTCGTTGCGAAGATATTGTCGCCAACTCATTGGGAGACTGATATCGTGAATCTCGGGCACTGTCGAAGTCAACTTCGACTCACAGGTTTCCCTCCAGTCGGAGACGACAGATCGCTACTTGGGCAAACGGGCAGGGGTGCGGTGGTTTGCTTATGTTTGCTTCGTGGGAAGCTTGGGGAACTGTCGGCGAGCAGACGCGTGAACTTGCATCAGCTGAGCCGGTGGTTGCCGATCCTTTGAGGCTTGGACTCTGCTCAGAAAGAGCTGAGCCACCTGGCAGCCGAGCAGACGCGGCTCGCCCGGTCCGTGGATGAGAACCGGAAGCTGGTGTCTTGGGCACGGCATTGCATGTGGTTAGCAGGTGCTAGTTTGGGTTTGCATGTCCAGGTTCCTGGCCTCGTCGGTCCAGAGAGCTTTGAAAGTAGTCTGTTGTTGTGTGAGGTGTGGGTCGGTCGGCCATTCTGGGGGTTTTCAAAGGAGTTTTGACGGCGGTCCCCCCAAGTTGAACTTCCATTGGTCCGGGCCTGGCACAGGTCGATGCCTGCTCCGAGGACTCGGGCTGTGGTTCGGGCTCCGGGAATTCGTCGGCACGATGTGACGGAGGTTTGCTTAGTTTGTTTTCAGAGGAGAATCCGTGCCAAGCTTGCAGCCCTTCTCGAAAGCGCGACTTCGCAGGACAACCGACGATCCCTCGAGAGCGAGAGCCGCCGCGTGGCAGAGGTCGAGGCAGGCAGATGAAGAGCTCGCTCAGGCTTGATACTTTGCAACAGCCCGACATGCTTGGCAGTAGCCCTGAAATCTGATCCAGACACGTCTTGACTGCCCGATGATTCTTTGCGGAATCCCAGAAAATCGAGCCATGGCAGGCTCGCAGCTTGAGCAGCAGCTCGGAAATCCAGCGCCTGGGCCAGAAGCTGGAGCTACAGAGCCAGGAGTTCCTGAGCAGGCCCCGGTCTCAGAAGAAGAAACAGAAGGATGGAAGGAGGCAAGGACGGAAGCTTTTTCGCGGCCACCGCCAGGTCGAAGGAGATCTCCCAGCACGTCGACGAGCAGATGCAGCAGGCCACACAGCGCCTTCAGGAGCCTCCGGGAGCAGTCTCCACGGCAGTCTATTGCGAGAGCCGCCCCGGCCAGGAGCTCGGCCAAGAGTTGAAGCAGGCCCTGACCGGCTTCGGGCCACGTCAGCAGAAGCGACCTACCAGTAGAATGCCAGAGTTGCTGGAGAAGCGGCTGCAGCAACCATGGGTCGAAGCTGCCTCTGGATCATCGTTACATGATACATACAGTCATACACAGTTCTAGGGCTCGTCTGAAAAGCAGAATCACCTGCAACTGCAGATCCATGGTGCTTCTGGCTGCAGGCTTGCGAGGCTGCGTCAAGCACAAAGGCAACCAGAGCACTGGCAAGGGGTAGGGTTCAGGTAGGCTACAAGCACGGTTCGGTCATCGCTGTGAGGGGTCTGCAGCATGGATACAGCATGAGCACATGTATGCTTCACATCTGAATGTTGTGAGCACCTATATTGATCCCGTTGCGTGCGGCTAGCTTTCATATTCTTTGCGCATTCCACCTGCACGGCATCGTAGCGAGATCCCAGCTTCGCCGTCCGTCGTCCGCTTTCCGATGAAGTCGATGACCGTTTTCTCTCCGTGATTGAAAACGAGAGCACTGCCGCTGTGCTGCCAGACGGAGCTGTTGGCGCGGCTGCAGGACGTCCAGGAGTAGGGGCCGTTTAGCATGGAAGTCTGAGCCCTGCAGGCTGCATGGTCGTGCTGCTTCGGTATGTAGAGCTGGCTTCTCCGCAAGCTCCCTAGCAACCGTTGGCAAGGAGGGGGAGGACGGACAACGTCGCAGCCTGGAAGAGCGGTCCAACGCGCTGTTGGACCGAGGCGGGGTGGAGGGTGGGTGGGTGGGCCGTGGATCGTAGAAGCTTCAACGGTTGCAGCGAGATTCTTCGATGTTTGGGACATCGGCTTTGGGACAAAGCCCGTTCCGTGTGATAGGAGGTTGGTCTGTCCTTCGCCTGAGGCCTTCAGAAGTTGGCGCAGGAAGTGGCCGAGCGCATGGATGAGGGACAGGCCGGACGAGTGAGAGTAGTCACCCTTGGAGGCAGCGCCCGTGCCAAGGCCGGGTTGCGCACAAAAGCTGCCAGGATGCGAGTTCTGGGAGTGTAGGCACAAGATCCGAGATCCGTTCCAGCAGAGTGTTCAGCTTGGGAGCCGGGGTCCCAAAACCCAAATCCTGGCCAGGAAAATCAGCGTCTTGCCTCTGCCACCACGGAGGGACGCCTGCTGGGGCAGCTAGAGAGCAGCCCGGACTGATTATGAAACCCGTCCGATCACAAAAACCCAGCTGCTGGGAGCAAGCTGTCAGGCTACAACGGCCGCCTGCTGGCCGCTGAGAGCTGGCGAAGCGCGTTCCAGGTCGTTGAGGGTTCGTGGCTTCTGGTCGCAGGTCTCGAGTTCGACTGCGATCTCGTCCATCCTTGCCTCCCGATCGCTTTGCAGATGAAACACAACACGCATGATCCCTTAGACCGCCCGGACAGGCTCTGCATATGCCATTCGCCCATGTTCCAAGTACTTGTAGGATCTTTTCGGACTCCCACGCAGGACAACAAGCAGCAGCTACTTGTGATGCATTCATAAGTCGCAGTGCGCCAGGAGCGAGAGGCTGCGCGTGAACAGCGCTTGAGCTCGCTGGGTGAGGTGGGCGGCCTTTGCGCTGGGAGTGGTTTCTGCATTGGCTGAGCAGGGTAGCGTTAGGTCGGAGATGCAGGCACCTGCGAAATGTCGTGGCGTCGCAAGGCAATGCGCAAGATGGAGGTTGTTTGCAAGGCTGGCCGTCCAGTGGTTCGGGATCCTAGAAGGATCTAGAATGAACTAGAATCCATGCATAGCGGAAAAAGATGCATCATCCACCTGTCTTTCCCGCCCTGAAATCTTCCGAGTTCTTGCTGGCGACTTTAGTTCGTCCAATATGTTTCAGCCTGAAACTCTACCGCTGAGACCAGCAGAGAGAGCTCGAATTCAGGATGTGGACCCTAGAGCGCAAGACCAGGTCGTGAGGTGTTGGGCTTGCGAAAGCACAGGCGGCAGGCCAACTCCCTAAACCAGGCCCCGAGTCCTGAAACCTGCAGCTTCCCGCACGATGCTGTGATACTTGAAGGAGGCAAAGCAGGCCACTACAAGCATCTACAAGCCAACTTTGCAGGATATTCCGGCGCTGGAGACCCGCATTGACGAGGCTCGTGCCGCCATCAAGGAGGACCACATTTCGGAGTGTAGCGTGGGCTAAGCGAAGCCTGCAGGGCGGCCAAAAGCTGGCAAACATTTCCGCCCAACTTGTCGGATGCAAAGTTCGGGGCAGCCGGAGCGCGAAACCGCCCGTAGATCTGTTGCTCACGGCATCGAGGACCTGGCAGCCAGTGCAATGAACGCCTTCCAAGGCCAGCCGCAGCAAGACATCCAGTGGTTTGATAATTTATCGGCGCTCGGCCTCATGCTTACATGAGGAGATGCAGGGTGCGGAAGAAAGGAAAAGGAGTGGAGATTGTACTGTAGAAATCTGACCGCGGGATCATTTCTGAGGCACCTGTTTCTTTGTTTTTAGTGCTTCCTGCAAATTCAACTTGACACGAGGGTTTCCTGCTGCAGGCGAGATGCGCCTCTGGGCGAAGATGGCTCAACTGGGAGTTGCTTCTCCCTGCCCCGTGCTGCCAAGCCAGGCGAGAGGTTTTCGAGTTTCAGGTTCGAAGGTATGGTTACAGAGGGTTATACATGAATATCTGAATTCAAGTTCTTGGCCTGCCAAGCAGCCAGGCTCCCAGCGCCTGACCCTGGGGAGCTCCGCGCAGGACGTCCCCACCCCATTGCCTTAGCAGGATTCGGAGTTAGAAGTTTGCCTGCGAAGTCTAGAGGGCTTCGAGACTCAACGCATGCGAAGCGATGGCTGCGGCCTTTCCGGATGCCACAGCAATACTAGTCATCGTGCACCGGTCTTGCTAGCAGGAGCTTCCATTCGACGTTGCTGGGGCCAAAGACGCTGCTCCTGTAGGCAGGGCTTTCATTGCTTCCGTTTCCATCGGCTGCCGGGGTTGGCTCCACATCACAGGCAGCATCTCTGAAGCATCCCCGGCGATGTCGTGAGCGCAGTTGCATGCTAAAACCGGCGGTGTTCTGTTCCTACCGCAGAGGCTCTTGTTGGCACCCCAAGATTGGTTGTTTGTGCTTTCTAGAACCGATTTATGTGGTGGCATTTGGCGGCATGCTGATTAATGCGATGGTGACAAAGACAGAACACCGCTAAAAATTCAAGATGGTCTCCACCCTCGCCGGGCCGGAAGCAGTGCATGGCACCTCAGCCACAGTCCAGACCCTTACAGCCTAAAAGCATTCCGGTAAGTTTCATGCTGAACTCAAAGTCTACAATAGCCCGTCGAGGGGAGGCGTGTGGGCGGAGACAAGAGACCTCTGCAAAATGCTTTGGCGCAACGGCCTCTTTCTGCAGTCGAGATAGGCTAGACTGGCCTAGACTGTCCGCCTTACCTGTTCGGTTGACCGAAGTTCGGCAGCTTTGAGGCTCCCAGCCTTTCTCCTTCGCTTCGGACGCCATGGGCAGTGTCCTCCAAAGCCTCCTGCTCCTGCTCCTGGCCGTGGCACGCAATTCGCTGGCCGACACTCGCGCGCGCAAGTGAACCTGGGGGAACTCAAGTCCAGGAGGTCTACAAGTAGAAAGGCTTCTGGAGATAAGGGCAAAACTCGGCCCCAGGCCGAGGTATGACGATCATTTCTGGAATTGGCAAGCATTTGCTTCGGCGTGTGGGCTGTTGAGGCGTTTAAGTGAACAGATCGCAGCCAAATCTGCGCCCCTACGTGTCCTGGACCAGCTTGTTTGTGTTTCGTCTGACCACGCTACAAGCTTTTCAGCTGACCGGCCGTATCCAGCAAGGCCTTCAGAATCCAGAATCGGACGCCTCCGTTCCCATCAGAGCTTGTGTTGTAAGGATGAGAGCCCGGCGGCCGAGGAGGGAAACCTCAGCCATGCGCTGGCCGCCCTCCGGAGAATCCAAGTTTTCTTTCGTGTCGTTCAGATTTGGAGGGATCGGGACTTGTCGAAGTCTTGATGTTGGGGTGTGTCAGTTATTTAGTGCCAGCGTGGAATGTTTGTTGGGGTTGTAGAGCTTGACGGATGGAGATCGCCTGCCTCGTAAGACTGCTTGAAGTCCGCGGTTCCGTGTGGGGTGCCTCGGCCTCGGCGCCCCAGGGTTAAGCTCTGACCCTGAGAGCCTTGAACTCCCTGCAAGTGTGCGAGGTGTCGAACTCTACGGCAGCTGACAGCCTTAGGCTGAAGAGCAAATACATCGCCGCTGCATTGAAGAACACATCGAAGGACGCCATTTGCAGATGAAACTTCTGAAAGAGAGGGGGGAGCACAACAGTGCAAATGTTTTGGTTCAAGTTCACGCTAAAGCTTTCTCAGATGAGTGGTTGCAAACGCTGCAGTGAGGAATGTTGGCAAGGTGCACTGCAGCCCCTGCTCAGAAAAAAGCGGGGGATGAATGGCTTCTGTAGGACCGTCTTCACTTCCGTGCGGGAAGGTCCCCCGTATCGGAGGTCCATAAATTCCCGAAACCACTGGCACAGAGATGCACAGAGCAGGAGATGCTGGTCAACCTCAGCCAAGATCGTTCTGCCCGGTCGTCTTCCGTCATCCGAGTCATCAACAAATGCCGATTGGCAGCAGACATGAAGCCTGGTTTGGCCCGTCGCCACCAACGGACCACCGTTTCGTGAGTTCGATCGCCAGTGGCCAAGGCTACAAGGAGCCCATCTGGATTGCGCATTGCTGCAACTACAATTACAAGCAGAATGTGAAGATTGATGGAGGCTCATCATGAGCTGGGATCTCGATTAGGTTCCAGATCAGGTGTCGCGTTTGCCTTCGAGGAAGAGCAGAGTCTATGAGATTGAGTCATTGAGCAGTTCTTGTTCACCGAATTCGCCGCCAAACACTGTCCCTGAGCTGAAGGTGCTTCACACGACTTTCCAGCCTATGCTGGGCTTCGAGGCTTTCGACTCTGGCCGAAGATGAGGCGGACTGGGGTTTGGGCGAAAGCGTTCTTCGCCGGCGATAGCAGGAGTGTCTTCAATTCGAGAGCGGTCGTGTGCTTTAACAGGTGCAATTCTGATGGTAACGGCTGCTACATTGGTCAGCCGCTTGGTGAAAACGCTGTGGGTAGCATGAGGGTCCTGCATTAGAAGATTCTGGGCGGGCGCCGAACATGCTGCCTAGGAGTGGTGGCAAGGGCCAGCCATGTGGTACTGATGGCAACTGGCGCTGCCAACAGCATGTGGACACCAAGTTCGAGGCGTCTAGCAAAGTGGCATATTGATAGGGCGCCTGCAAAATTGCATGAGGGGGACCAACTGAAGCTTGGACATCCGCGCCAGCATGATTACAACTTCCTCAGACCTAGCACTCACCCAGCCCCCTCGCAATGAAGTGAGCGCGGTCTGAGCCTGAAGACCGAAACGGTGTTCCGTGCATTGCACTTCTGACGAGGCCACTTTTGGAAGCCGTAGCGACTACTACGCTTCTGGGACGGCAGCCTCGAAGTAAGCCTCACGAGTTCTAGGAATTCCTTGCAGGCTTCAGAGTCGCTGAAGCTCTCTCAGGACATGAGCATGGTGGATGGGTACACGCTGCCATTCCAGCTTCCCGGCGCCAGCACGACAGATGTGAAATTCCGGGTGTAGGTGTTTCCGAGGCATCGTCTTTCTCTAAACATCGGCTTCACGAGCCGAGCATGGGTTTGGAAGACAGGGAGTTGGCCAGGGTCAAGTACCAGCTTACAAGCTGATACGTTGCTGGCTTTGATCCTTTTGCTCAGCCCTTTGCCTGCTTTCCATGTTCTTTTGTACAGGCGAGGCGTCGTTCTGCCTGTGTAAAGGAGAGGAGAGCTCATGGCAACCGAGGCTGAGGCTCCAGGGCTGCTCCATTCCAGGCACCCGGGGGCTCTTGGGGGTTCTCTTTGAAAGCTCTGCAGCTTCTGGAGATTCCGGAGATTCCGGAATGCACCTGAGCAGCGCCGAGGGTCTTCGTTCTTGACATTTTCAGTAGCTGCAAGGATTGGGCCGCTACTTGGATTGCTCGGATCTCACGCTCAACGCCTGCCCAGCCGCAAACAAGGACAGCGGCATTCGATTGTCGGGTCCTTCAATCGACCAACATCCTGCCCTGCAAGTATAGCCCTCCGTGCCACGTCAAGCCTACTTATTGAGATGTCCGGAGGAGTACTACAACGGAAAACTGATGGGCTGCCACGCACGGGGCCGCCCTGGGCATGGCACTAGCACCTCGCAGGATGTGTCATATGTATGGCGTCGGATTGAGGGTTCTTTCGGAACGTCGGGTCGTGTGTCTTCGAAGTCCTATATACTGATTTATGCTGTATACAAAGATAGATAGGTAGATTATGGTAGCTAGATAGATCAGATAGACAGATACATACTTATAGGTAGATATCTAGGTAGGTAGGTAGATGCATCGATGCATGGACAGGCAGACAGCCATGCAGGAAGACAGACAGATAGATAGAACGACAGATAGGTGTGCAGATAAATCATCATATAAGCATTCAAATCAACACATCGACATGCACGCATGTATGTATGCATGCATGCATGCATGCATACATCAGCATATACATAATAGAGATTTTTCACATATCATATCGGTGTATATATCAGACCCTGCTTTGTTGGTTTTTCGGAGCGGCTTGGTTGGCTCGGGCTCGCTAGGCTGGTGGGGACATATCCAAGTCCGCATGGTGGTAGGGACGGATGCTTGGAGCTAACAAGGCCGGGGGTCGAGGCTTCGAGGGACTAGACAGGCGCGAGATCCCGATGATAAGGCCTGGAGGTGCTCGAACGGTTAGCGTAAGTTGGTCGTCAAGGCTGTCCTCGGGAAGCCGCTTGGCTTTAGAAGTCACTCGCAAGAACGACACAGGAACTTGCAGGGAGGCTTCACGGGGCAGGGTGCTGTTTCATTTGTTTCTACATGTGTTTCCGGGCCCAGACTGCGGACGCAGAATGAGACATTTCTCTTTCCCCCAAATTTGTGTGTGTCTGTGTGTTATTCCGAGGTGAGTACATCCACTTGGTGCACAGGCTGTGTCCGAAGACCTATGCCTTCGACTTGGACGATAGCCACTCGGTGCAGAGACAAAGACTGCATCGATAGCCTCCCAAAAGCCACCCAGCTTGTTAGAAACTCTGAAGTTTGACCGCCAACCTGGCCCCAGGCAATGGAAACCACAATTGTCCGCATGGCACCACCTACGAGCTCACCTTCTTGTGCCCTGATGCATAGGGGGGGCATCGAGGCAGAAATCCCCTGCCGGAGGAGGTTATGCCGAATCTTTAATTACTCGGCTTTTCAAGCTGGAGTATCTCTGCTTAAGGTCTCATCCAAGGGGCCAGAACCTGTTCACGATTTGATGGTAGGGCTGGCTTTCGGGAGAGACTCTGGCTTGTGGAAGTCACTAATTCGCGCCATTTAACATGCATAGAATGCGCGCTTGCTGTCTCAAGTGCAGCTCACTGTCTCGTCTCTCGCGCGCACTCTGATTTTGATCTCCGGCTCAGGCCGTTGAGTCATGTTTTGGCATTGGCGAGAGCTAGCTCTGCGAATCCTGTAATTTATGGGTCTTTCCCGGCAAGCGGAAGTGGCACCAGAAGTTCTAGTAGTTTTGCTAGAAGTTGTAGTAGTGCTAGCCGTGCCAGCAGTCACAGAAGTAGCAGTAGCAGTAGCAGTAGCAGTAGTAGTAGTAGTAGTAGTAGTAGTAGTAGTAGTAGTAGTAGTAGTGGTAGTAGTAGTAGTCGTGGCAGTAGCAGTAGCAGTAGTAGTAGTAGTAGTAGTAGTAGTAGTAGTAGTAGTCGTAGTAGTCGTCGTAGTAGTAGTCGTAGTAGTCGTAGTAGTAGTAGTAGTAGTAGTAGTAGTAGTAGTGGTAGTAGTAGTAGTAGTAGTAGTAGTAGTAGTAGTGGTAGTAGTAATAGTAGTTGTAGTAGTAGTAGTAGTAGTAGTGGTAGTAGTAGTAGTAGTTTTAGTAGTAGTAGTAGTAGTAGAAGTAGTAGTGCCAATGGCAACCTATGCAGTGCAATGCGGAGGCCCTGCCTGCATTTCTACTTCGTTTCTTCCGGAACGGACTGACGGCCTTTCTGCTGATTGCCGCCGCTGTCAGTGAAAAACATGCCTAGCCTTCTGCCAGTCGCAGTACTGTGCCTCTGCTACTAGTGCTGCACAATCACTATCCTCGTTCAGGTACACACAACAATCTGAAGCTTGATGCCTGGCAGCCTACAAACTTGCTTCGGCTGACCACTGCCAGTTAGCTGGAAGCCTGTATGCCGCCAACACCCAAAGGTCTTTGACCTGGGCTGTTCAGCTATAGGGTCTGAGTCAGTTTCACACCATGTGAGTGCACCGCGGCAATCGCCCGCTATGTGCTGAGCCCGCTCGCACAGCGTTCAATTGAAAAATAGTAGAAGTAGTAGTAGTAGTAGTAGTAGCAGCAGTAGTAGTAGTAGTAGCAGTAGCAGTAGCAGTAGCAGTAGTAGTAGTAGTAGTAGTAGTAGTAGCAGTCGGTAGTGGATCTAGTAGCAGTCCCTCGTGGTAGTCTCGTGGTCGTAGCCTGCCAACCGCAGCCTTGTTTGCTTCTGACAGTAGCTTTCGTTGCGCTCGCGTTTCGTGTCAGTCATGTGCGACGCTTACTTTGTGCGTGCAAGTTCTTCCTTGGGCTGCGTTGCCCCGTGAGGCTTTTTTTCTGCGGAAAGTCTGAAGCTCACGTTCGCTCGCCTGACGCCGGCCGACGTTCACGTCGGAGTTCAGGCTCGGGACAGGGACGGTTGTTCTTGCTGGGTTTTTCGCTTTGCAGGCGATGCCGCTCGCAGACCGCTTGCAGTTGCAGAAATTGCTCCGTGCTTCGACTGCTTGTCACGACGTTCTGCTTCCTGCCATAGCTATTGCGCGAGGTCCCCTCTTCAAAGCGGACGCTTGCGAGGGCAAGGCCGCAGGGGCCGAGCCTTGTCCTGACGTCTCAGTCATTCAGCTGGTTGATAGGTGTGCGCCGTGAAGAAATGCAAGAAGACCAAAGATTGCGCGACTCGCACATCATCAAAGCGGCAGGCCTTCCTGGGCGTGTTCGGTTTTGAAGAAACTCGTCTGCCATGCGGTCAGGCGACCTGGGGAAAACGAAGAGGCCGCCACAGTTTGTGCGTTGCTTTCTGCTGCTTCCTCTGCATCAGGTGCAACCTTCCCTTGGAGAAAGGCGACCCCGTGCGCGGGGCTTGCCGGATATGGAAGCACAGCCGGTCTCCTTCCTCACCATGTTGCAGAAGGAGACTGTTTGTCCAAACGCTCAATCCTGTTGATGGCGCCCGGGCATGGTCGGTACCCGCTGTTTGAAGTGACTTCGATGCTGACGGCTTAGGGAGTCAGGCCGCAGGACACGGCGCGACGGCACGTTGAGCCATCCTTCAACAAGATACCCGTGTCCATTGCGCAAAGAAGCCTTGGTCACAAGCCATAGAACTCCAAGCAACACTGAATCCGGACACCCAAGCCTTAACATCTTGCTTTATGGACCCCCCCAAATTGAAGCTCCCCGAAGGAGATCGCTTCCCGAAAATCCCGCAGAGGGCGCAGTCGCAGCCCCTGCTGGCCACAGCCCCGGAGATCTCGGGGAGTTGTGTTCAATTGAGGGACTTCTGATCAGCACCGTGTCTCAGATTCAGGAACATGCGGAAGCGCATTGGCCGCTCCGTCATGCCCAGGCGGGTGACAAGGCACTCCGTCTCGTGCGCGCAGCGCTGCCATGCAGGACGGTCCCCTTGCGCTACGTGGAGTTGGCTTGCTGGGAGGAGGACGAGCGCGGCCGCTGCGAGGACTGACTGAGACTGGAGTGCATGTCGCTGTGGAGGCCTGCTTTTCTCGAGCCAACCAGCTATTTTTAGCTATATTTTTGAACCACACAAAACCAGGCCTCCAGGGTGACGCTTTCTGTTTTTGTATATAATCAGTGTTTTTAAACTATCAACCTGGACGAAGCAAACACAGAAGTACTCCCCCAGAGTGTGCTACATCCGATGGTCTAAATTAGGCGCTACCCGAGACGTGGTGGAGCTCAAAGGCGCGACAGCAATCCAACAGCAACAGCCGCCGTGACATTCATGTTCGGGAGCACGCGACTACAATATTGAATTGCTGCAATGATGGTAATGATGGTAGAAAGGCACTTGTTTTTTGGGTGATAACAGCGAAGTTGATGCCGGTCAGAGGACACACTGAAGACCCGAACCCTTGCCTTTACAAGCTTGATCCCAGCTGCGCGAAAACCTCGTGCATCGTAGGTTTCGTGTTGGAGCTATGTGATTAGAGGCTGATGGCCGGCAGCACGATAGTTGTCAATGCGACGCAAAATTGTCCCTCCTCCAACCCCGAAGCCGAAACGTCAAGCCGACATCCAAATTCAAACGTAGCTTACATGAAAATTGCAGAGGACTACGACTCTGACAGCATGGAGGCCGTGCTGTCTTGCCGGCCTCTTGCCGCCCTCACAGATGCATGTTTGTGCAGGACATGGAGGTAGGGCCAACAAGCAAACGGCCGATTCCAGACGAACTCTACGACAAAAATGAGGCGGCCGTGTCTTGGGGTAGATCAGGAACCCTGAGGAAGAACAGTAGGCTTTTCCGTCTTTCGCGTAGAGGGTGGTTTTTGAAATTAGTTTGATCTGCTTGTCGTGCATCTTTGTTCTGTTGTACCAACTTGTACAGTGTTACATGGTTCGCTCTCGTCGCTGATGGGTAAAACCGTGCGATATCCAAAGAAAAAGGCTAGAACCACACAGGTTGAGGTACTTAAAGGAGTGCTGAACTTTGCCACAGAGTACACATTAAGATAATCTGGAACTATCTGGAAGATACTAGAGTGTACCGTACCATACTCTACTCTATTATTTCTATGCTAGTCTAAACTATCCCATTCGGTGCTCGAGAACTTGATGGCAGGACCCTTACTGCGCAGGTTTGCCGCAAATACATGTCCGGTGCCTCCAATAAACGAGGTGGCACTACCGTACGGTCTTATAGAGGTATCTGTTCAATACTGTAAAGGGCCCTAAAACTACAACACAGAAGAGAGAGAGAGAGAGAGAGAGAGAGAGAGAGAGAGAGAGAGAAAGAGAGAGAGAAAGAGAGAGAGAGAGAGAGAGAGAGAGAGAGGAAGAGGAACGATACGGAGAAGATTAGCATGGCCTCTGTGCAAGGATGCCACGCACGAATCGACAAGTGTACCAAGGAGAAAGATGCTGAGAGATAAAGAGAGCGAGAGACAGAGAGACAGAAATCGAAAACGCGAGAGAGAGAGAGAGAGAGAGAGAGAATGGGAGGACTGCTCCAACCCCAAGCCCCAAACAAAGCAAAGCAAAGACTGAAAGAAAGGTCTAACGACTAAGGATTTTGACTTTAGAGTTTAAGGAGAGAGGAATCTTTTGCAGTTGGTTGGGGTAGAATCCTTGGAATATTTACGGGCTACGCCAGGTGGGCAGCACAAGCAGCCAACCCGGGACTTTTCCCAAAAACGTTCGTACGCCCATCATCTCCAATCTAGGCCCCCGAAAAGGCTAGCATCATGAGCATCAGCTTGAGGCCTAGCCCGGGACAAGTCTGGGCACGCCGAGCCCCGCCGAAAACCTAGGCTTTAGACCTAAACTTCGAGGCCTCCCTAGACCCTCCCCCGACTACCATCTATTGCACCCCAAATGTCATAGGTAAAGGGCGCTTGGGGGGTGTTGGCCAACGTTTTCAGACCTAAACTTCGAAGAGAGCACCGGAAGCTGGCTCCGCCGGTGGCGACCAGCCGTGCCGCGCTTTACGCCACAGCACGCCAGAACAGCATCAGAACGTTGAGACATGCTGAGATCGTGCTGACCTGAGGCATTTCTTGCTTGACAGTTCGGGTGCCAGCAGTTTGCAGTCCTCTGATACTTTTCTCGTGTGCTGGTGCGATTTTCTGGCCGCGCGGACGCAAAAGTTTATGGAAAGCAACCCCTTGCTCGGAGAAGCTGCTGGTGTCAATCCACAAGGTGATGTCACAATAGTTGAGTCCGCACGTGTGGTGCCTCTTCAAGGATTCGAACGGTTAGCCTGGTCGTGCGGATTGAACCGCAATCTGAGAACACAACAAGCAGAATTACGTTCATAAGTGCGAACAGCAAATGACGTCTCAGTTGTGGTTTTTTGGCACTGTTAAGTAGTTGCTTTCTGGGGAAGTTCGTGGAAAGGCGATTCAGCGGAGTATATACGGTCTGCAACATCCATGCAGGAGGGGCGTAAGCTGAAACAATGGCCTATTCCGCTTCCTGCTCGTCCCGGTAAAGCTTAGCAACCCCATGATAGCATTGTGCAAGGCTCGGTGCTCTAACCGCAATGATCTTCCGTGTAAGGCATCGTTGGGCCGTATGTGCTTGCGTTGAGCCTTGTAAGCCATGACGCTCGTCCTCATCAAGCATATGGGTAGCTTTGGCGCCAAGCCAAGCTTCATAGTGAAACACTTACGCATACTAGTATGACACCATTCCCGATCATCGGTTGTCGTGCTCACAGATGACCTTTCTAGGTGAGTTGAAATATCATTTACGTGACATTGGCAAGGACGTGCATTTCCATTGCTACTCGCGATCAGAGCCACTTCACCCGTCTCGGTTTGCACCGCCACAAGACCTCAAGCAGGACCTTGTCCCTGCCTTCACAAGACCGTAAAGCCGAAGCAGTTCCTTAAGCAAGCCACGAAGCAACAGGCCTTGTTTTGTCCTCTGGAAGCCCATGGGCTGCACCATGTGGACCATGGCATCCCGGGGCTCTGCCGAGTCTTGGCCGCTTCCGCGGGGCTTCCCAGAGCGCCTGGCCGAGGCGCTGCACTACTTTGCGATTTCTTCGCCTCAGAGTCAGCAAGGGCTTCACTGCCGCATCTTCCGACTGCTTGCTTGTCTTGCGGCGTGGTGCTGTGCTCTGGCAGGTGTCCACTCGAATGGGAGCAATTATATGCAAAGAAAGAAAGAACTAGTGTAAGGCCCTGCCTCCAACCATATGCTGCTCTTGCAAGAGGCACGAGCTGCGGCATCATCGTCTTTGCGCCCTTGTGTGCTTCTGACCACGGGCGCCATGAATCCGCCCCACAAGGACGGCACGCTTCCGGACGGATTCTCGTCAACTTCTCAGGATGATTGAGAAAGCCAGACATGTCATGTGCGGTCGGTCAAGTCTGATTTCGAGTCACTCAGCTTGACCATCCCGGAAGGGGCATGCACAGCTTCTGCGACAAGCTGCAGAAAGGCTTCAAAGACGCTTGGTTCATATCGGGCCGATGACCATACTAACACTGCAGCATATCACTTCCCCGACGACATGGCCAAGACAGGGCGACCTTAGAGTCAACTCGTCCTGATCCTTGAAGAAACGTTGTAGTTGACGATAACAATCATGAAGATGACGCGGATGGTGACAGTGAGGAGCGTGACGTAGATACTAGTGATTATGATGGTGACCGACATATGTTGACGAATCTGACAATGCAAGAAGAACAGTTCGTTGTAGGATGTTGTAGGTCATGAATTTGCTTCAAGACCGAGGTACTAGTAGGTTTAATCTGGCTGCAATGGTATTCACCTTGATGAAGTTACGGCTGTAGCGCCGCCGCCGCCGTCTAATAGCACCGCTACAGGGCGCACGTGCGCTGCTTGTAGACATCATTTCTGGTGACAGACGCGAGCACGGCATGTATTCAAGTCTCGATGCATACACATGTATATTAAGCATCTTCAGGGTTTACCAGGTTTTGCCCGAGGCTGCGCGAGCCAGAACATGCTGACCTATGCTTGCTACTACTGACATTGAGGCGTAGCCGAAGGCTTTTCCGAGTATGCTGAAGAGACAGTCTGCCGATGTTGTGGTTTCAATCTGCTGGCAAGGAGAAGGCTACTGCGTGCTCGGCGCGTGGATGTCCCCTTCGCATGACGATGCCCGTCTTTTTCTGGCTGTTTTTTGGAGCTTTGCGGCTGCTCCCGGAGGTTTGCCGAAGACAGGCAGGCAACAAGGAGGCACGCTCAGCACACGGCATGGCCGCGCCTTTGGAAGCCCAGGACTACGTGGGGCCCAAGGCTTTTCGTCTGGGCAGCCTGGCAGCCTCGGTTCTTGTGGACTTGGAGCCAAGAACCAAGTTTTGCTTCGATTCGTTTGGAGCGCAGAATGTTTTTGCGGAATGCAGGAGACACGTCCGTGTCGGAAAATCTGTTGGCGAGATCAGGAACCGAAAACAACCCAGGAGCGAAGAGGTTTGTTGGTGATTGCTGTTAGCTTCGAAGCAACTCAGGGAAAGGCCCCTTGCCAACAAGCGGCAGTCCTCACAACTAGACACCGCCCACCACCCACGGCCACCGACCGCCACCAACCGACGCCGCCGAAGCTGTCGTCAATCTGGACGCGACGCAGCCGGCAAACAGAGAACCACAGACACAACATCAACGTGTTCATGAATCGACCCTGGACCTAGATCCCATTTCTCCGGAACCTCGAAGCCCACTGCTGGACCAATAGCCAAAACCTTTGCCATCTCGTCCAGGCATTCTGCTTCAACCTGCGGCCACTGTTGTCACGTTGTGAGATTCGATCAAACAAGCCCGAAGCCTTGCTGCACTGTCACCAAATATCAAAGTCTACTTGCCGGCAGTGCAGATCCGAGGCACCTTGCACCTGAGCAGCGGACTCCGGTTGCAGCTGGCACATTTCATGGTCCGTTCCTGGGACCTATGGCCGTGTAGATGTGGGGGAAGGGCAGCCAAGGAGCCTTGGATTTTGATGAGTAGTGCTTTTGAACCAAGACGCTGCATCAAAGGTGAGGACGACTTGGTGGCCGTCGGGAGCTGGGAGGCCAATGTCACAGGGCGATGGCCGGATTTCCCTGAGGCCCGAGCAAACTGCGGCCAGACGGTGGTGACAGTTCGAATCGGTGCTGCCTGCATCTCGTACAGTACATGTCCCAAGCCGAGATAGGCCTTGTTTTGGGTTGAGAATCTCTTGCCCGAAGGTGGCCGCGGAGTTGGAGCCTCTCGGCACGCGACGACTGGGAGCAACGTTTGCACAGCTTCGAGACCTTTAAGTCTGAAGCGCATGGCCAAGTGGCACTCCTGGGCTGGCGGCTTCAGCCGAGGAAGCAGATCCAGGGGCGGATTGAGGATCCTGGAAGCTCCTTGGACCAGAGACCGCTTGTTTGGGGCGATTGCCTCATGCCTTTGAGGAATATAAAACATGCTTCGGGCCGGCTGTGTCCACTCTCCGCATAGCCCATCGGAAAAACCGGGGGGGTCAGGGCGCCAGGGCCCTTCTTTTGTGCTTCGAGGTCTTGGATCCATGCCGCGAGTGTTTTACGCCTGCGGCAGCTTGCCTGATCATGACCTTCGGATAGAGTATCGGAGAGCGAGGGTTTCCTTCGGAACCCGTTTGGTAAACCATTGGGATCTACTTTGTTGAAGCCCGCTTTTCAAGAACTCGAGCTGCTCGAGCAGTCTTCCGAACCTGTGGGGTTGAAGGGCTTCTAACTTCAGGCATGGTGCATAACTTCTGCACGCTCGAAGCTTCATTCATGGTAGGTGTGTCTTGTGACTTGGCCTTGCGGGAAAATGTAGGATTGGACTGGATGAAAATGGATGAAATGTTTGCACTTCGAACTCGTTCCACACGAGAATCACCGCTGCCGTGTGTTCTGACTGTTCTGACCATTTGCCGGTGCCAAGGAACAGACCATGCCAAGCGCTGTGGTCTTTATCAGGCCAGCTGATTGCACGTGGCGCGGCTTTGCCACTTCCCTGATTTTTGCCAGCCGGAAAGGGTGCAATACCCTCACAGACGCAGGTCTCATGTTGAGCAGGACTAAACAAAACTTACCTCTGGCATCAAGCTAACTTGCAAAGTGCAAAGTGCTCTCAGGGCTTCGGGCGCTTCGGCGGAGAAGCCGAAAACATTGGTGTCGTGGTCGTCCCGCGCGAGGGCGAGGCAGCCCATGATGCAACATGCATGACTTAAGCGCTAGACCCGCTAGACCTCGCCTGCCAAGACCATCAGGCTCTGGGTCTCAGCAAAGGTTTGGAAGCTAATGGACAGATCAGAAGGAGCAAGAATTCTACTTAGATTCAGATGACTGGAACATCAGATCTAGAGAGAAGCTAGCTGCAGCGAGAATACCTACATGAGCCAGAAGCATGCGCACGGCCGGAGTAAAGCTGCGCCAGGTGGCTCAACCGGAGAGCCCAGGCAAGTTCGTCTTCGTGGCTTCTGCAGCTCCGGGTGATGACGCATGGCTGCGCATTGGGAAGTAGAGCCTGGCCCTTCTGTGCGACCTATTGACCAGTTAGAGAAGCTTCGTGGCATCTTTTTCTTCTGTTTAAGCCGCATTTGTAAAATGCGGCCAATGCCCTATGTTTGTCTTTCTGTTTGAGACCACCTCATGTTCGAAGACACATGATAATGCCAACCTCTAGTCTTCTTCTCTGATGTCGTCGGGATGGGATCCCAGCTCAGGTGGCGAGCTTCAGCTCCACGAAAATCCGCCACGGTCTAAGGGGAAGAGACTCGCTGTTGGCCAAACTTGTTGTGTTTGGTTTCGGCTTCGCCCACTATTCCCAAAAGTTGATGGTACCAGAGTCGCTGATTTCAGCTCAAGTGAATCAGATGTCTAGTTCCAGCCAGGTGAATCCTTCAAGACAGCCGGGCCAGAAGAGCACCAGTACCTCTGCCATGCCATTTGCGAGGCGGGTCGATTCAAAGCTGACCAAAGATCTGTGCCTGCCCTCGTTTGGATGCATTTGTTCCCCGCCACCGCGCCATGCAGAAGTCGGGATGCTATTGGATGCCCCCCACGAGCTGCTGCAAAGCTGCTGCTTTGGCATTACAGTACCAGTAGACCGAGCAGACCCATCAAAACCACAGCCGTGTTTCTGAGCAGAGAGACCCAAAGCTGCGAGTACTGGTGCTCGGTGCAGGAAGCGGCCGACTTCATCCTGCGCCCCAGCGCTGAACAGCCGCTTGGGCTTCGAGATGCGAGCAAGTTCGGGTTCGGATGCGAGCAGATTCCTCGACTTTTGAGCCAACCGAAGCGACGCTTATACAGGCAGATCAAGTATAAAGTCCTGCCAGCCATCTATATACATATCAGCCCAGGCGGGCGACGTACAAAGAGGATTTCAAGAAGCTGGAACAACAGCTGAGCGCTTCCGACGCATAGTCTCTCAATGCCGTTCTGGCTTCATGTGATCCGTTACAGGCCGTCTGTACCTGCAAGCGTGGTCAAGCCTGATTCCTCGATCCACCCAGGCTAGGCGGAAAGCTTCGAACAAGACCAATAATTAGCTGGTTGTTTAGCCGCAGGTTTCGCATCCACGATTGAAGTGTTCGCGGTGTGTCTGCAGGCCGCTTGAGACTGCCGTCTGTGCGACCTGGTTTCACTCGTTGTTCCGAAACATGCGGGCTCGACGAGAAAAAGGATCCTTTACATGGCTCCAGCTGGATAGGTAGCGCGTGAGGACATGGCAGCGGCAACGGCCCTGTTTGGATGGCCTAGCCACCGTCCCGCCCGTTTCATGCTGGCGTCGACCGCTTCAAGCCTTCCAATAAAGGATCGATGGTCACGGGATCGGAGGAAAGAGCACAGCCCACTGGCATGGCACGTGACGTCAATTGTTAGGGTGTTAACAAACTGTGCACACAAGACATGTTATATCAGTTTTACGATCCTGACGAAAAACGGGGCGGTGCGTAGCGCCAGCATTTCCAACAATATGCCCTCCCCATCCGAGCATCCTCGAGCCACTGGTTTTCGGAACTCCAGAGCCTATGGCATGTGATGGCCGTTCCTGCTTTCATGGAGCATGGATGATGCAGGCAGCCTGGGCTTCGGAGGTTTATGATTGTCCTGATGCGTAGCCCTTGGCTGCAACGCGCTCATTACCTTTCCTAAAGCTTTTGCTGAATGGACAGCAAGTAGCCTATGTGGCGACCGAAAGAATTATCATTACACATAGTTTTACGACACTACTACCTCAGATTTTTGATGCGGTTTCGGGACTTCGGGCTCAAGCAGGTCCGGAGCTCCAACGCAGGCTTGCTGCTTCGCGCTATTCCGAGGCCAGGGTGTATCAACGTGGTTTGTATCTTCGACTAAGCGACGACTGCATCATTACAAGCTTTGTATACTTGCAAACCCTTGTGGGTTGCAGTCGTTCTCCGATGAGATGGGTCTGGGGAGGTTTGGAACCTGCAGTCGGGCCTTGCTTCGGTGCAAGGTCGCATGCCGTGATGCGTTTATATTCCACAACAATCTGCCTAGCAGGATGCCATCCCGCTTGGGCATGCTAGCGTGCTCGGGCCTTACACGCGTGAGTGCAATTCGCAATTTGGCTGTCATCGACGGGCCGAGAAGAGTGCGTGGACTTGATAGGATTGACCACGACAGCCTGAAGTTCGCAGCTTTGGACATTTGGGTTTAACCTCGAATCCAATATGCACTTTGCGGCGATTCTCGTTCAACCCGGTGGAGCCTGGAGTCATGCTGGTTATCGTATTGCCACAATATGGTCCCAGAAGGACAGGCTGACGCGGAATTGGGCTTCAGGCTCTGGGTACCAAAGCGCCTCCTTGAGGTGGGGGTCCTGGTTCTGTACAAAGACGCAGTCCTGGGGCTTTGCCTGCTGTCAGCTCCCCGGATCCGGGGCCTCAGACGGTGCGGTAAGCTCGTTAAGGGGAATCTTCGTGGTTTCAGATCGGTTCCATCCAGCATCGTAACATCGTCGTATCGCATCGACCCTCTTGGCACATCGTGCGCCCGCCCGTGGCGCTCGCAAATTTCAGGGAATTCTTGGTGACATGGCATGGTGAATCATCCGTCGATGCTCGTAAGGGTTGAACAACTATCTGCGAAACGGACGCAAGGTCGTTGGGCCGTTTCTGTCGGCTTCTTGCTTACTCGCAAACATCATAGATTTGTTTCCGCTTGCACAGATTGGGAGTATAAGGGGATGGGCCACGACACGGTTGCTCTTGAGTGAATGAGCTTTCTTTCGCTCTCTTGTCAATGTACTTTTTTTTGCTGCGATATTCACATTGCTTGAGGCCGTGCCACGGACCGCGAGGCCTCACCATGGGCTTCCGAAGTTTCTGGAAGCCCGAAAGCTGTTAGCGATGTGTAGGCGATGTCAATTGCGTGCGTATCAATGTACGAGCAGCTTAGCTTCGCGTTGCACGCAAACGGCTAGGGCTCCTTCTCGTTGGCAGAAGCCCCGAAAGCGAAAACCGTGCTCTCAAGCCACCCCTGCGGAATCCAAAGTGTGAGGCGAAGCCCTGCAAACCGGAAGCCCTTCTCGCAATGTCGGCGTCGGCGCCCCAGGTTTTGGGTGGAAGCAGCATGCATGACGCTTTTCACTGACAGGCACGATCAACAGGCAGGTCTGTAGCTGAACAGACACCTCAGCCAGTCTATGCCGCACCCACCAATCCTGAACGCCTGGGCGAAATGTCTTCCCGACCTTCGTCTGGGAAGTGCAAGAGCCCTGGACCTGCAACCAATGTCCCCTAGTCGGCGTTCGTGTTCCAGTCTGGAAGGGACCTTGTGTTTTCTGAAGGCCAGAAGACATGGTGTCAACTCCAAGACGAGAGGAGGTTCGATTCTTGGGACTTTGGAGATTCCCGGCTTTAGTCAGCGACCTGGTGCTTGACAGTTCTTGGGCTCTGACGGTTTAACGATGTCAGCCAGGAGAATTAGCATCATCTCCAGGTCCGGAAGCATGTGTAGATGTTGTGGTAGCAGCACCACAAAAACCCCCGCCACCACCACATCCACTGGTTTGTGGAGCGGCAGCAGTGACTACTGTTGCTAAGTTGACTTCTTCAGCCATGACCACCGCAAACAAAAGAGTCGTGATCAACAAGTCATTGTTGAGGAGTGCCGGTTCTGTGGTTGGGAGCTTGTGGATGTCGAGTTCATATAAGTACCTGGCAGATCCAGCGGGCGGAAGGCCATAAATTGCGATCCCTTCAGCACAACTCCGAGGCGCAGGCCTCCTCGGAGGCGGCGTGGCTACCGAGGCCCGTCGAATCTGAAGTGAGTGAGGTGAGGCTGCAAGAGATGTACCGAGGCTTGCGGCATCGGAAGTTTCTTGCTCCGGGAGGGTTCCGTGGTGGTCGCTAAGCTCCGAGAAGTGCTGCCTCGAGCCTTCCGAGTGGAGGAGTTCCTTCGAGACCTCCGTAGGCTTCTTGGCCGGTGGCTCAGCTCGACTTTTCTCCCGGCGCTTGGCAGCTGTGATTTTGTTTCGGTGTGAGATTTGCTGCCTTTTTGGAGATTTTCTCGGCAGTTGCCCTTCTGCATCTGACATGCGGAACTGCGCAAGGGGACGTAGAAACCCAGAGAAATGTACACGTTGCGAGCGGTGTTTGCCGAGACCCATTCGATGCAGTACTTCCTTCGATGCCCGGGAGCCCGGCCGTTGAGATAGGTCAGATGGACAACTGAGGCTGTGTCCCTGAACCCTGCGGTTGGGGGTTGAGGTTCCAGGGCGGCAGAGTATGGCAGAGTACGGAAAAGATGCATAGCATGTCCTTGGAGTTCGTAGGGCTTCATCGCTTTCCTGTTGTTGATTACAGAGTCTTTGCAAAGCCGGGCTGCACATGCCCAGTCGCCCAGCCATGTTTTAAACATCCTCAGGTGCCTTTTATCAAGCGCTTCTCTCAGCATGCCAAATACCAAGCATTCCAACCCAACTTCCGAGTAAGTTGAGCGACCCCGCAGTGGAGCGAGGATGTTCCCCTGATGCTGTGCCCCTTTACCGGCTGGCTGATCCCAGCCCCGAGGCCCTGAAAGAAGCGATCTTGTAGCTACAAGGAGCCGAGAGTCAAAAGGGAGCCTCCGAAAAGGCTGGCGCAGTGGCCTTCAGGATCCGACAACGGCACGAAGGCTTCAGGCAGCCTGGAAGCAGCTCTCTGCCTCTCTCTCGCTCACTCTCTCTCTCTCTCTCTCTCTCTCTCTCCCTTGGGCCGTCGAGTGAGTGAGCGAGAGAGAGAGAGAGAGAGAGAGAGAGAGTGTGTCTGTGTGCGTGTGCGTGTGCGTGAGCAGATACACTTGCAAAAGATACATCTGTTAGTGATAGTGTGTCCAAGTAAGGGTTGAATCAACAAAATGATGAGCATGCAACACCGCATGAATACAAAGAGTATTACATGGAAACAGAGTTGGAAGGCGTGCTCACTTCCTCTGCTTGTCTCCCTCTGTCTCCCTCTCTCTCTCTCTCTCCTCTCTCTCCTCTCTCTCCTCTCTCTCCTTTCTCTCCTC